GTTAAATCTTCTAATATCTCGAATAAGGAATTGTTTAAAAAATCAAGATACATATCACCATTTAAATTTCCAGGTAGAATATGATAACCTATTAATTTGTTACCTAAAGTTGCTGCCCAAACATTAACTTTAAATGAGTGTTGGTAATGTGATACCCTTTTGACTCGTGGATTCTCATCACACCAGTAGTGTTCAGTATGGGAGTTAAACATACCTTGTCGCGTAAAGGTGGCCTCGTCCGTAAAAAGAATGCATTTTAACAAATTTAGATTGTGGGCTGTCCTTTGTTGCAATGTTTCACAAAAATCCACTCTAACCGGTAGATCATCTGGCAAAAGCTCTTGAACTTGTCTGTAATGATAAGGATGTAATTGCTGTTCTTTCAGTATCCGCCAAGTACTTGAAGAAGAAGTATTTGTTTGTGTTGCTATATTCCTTACGCTAACTGTGTGATCTCGATCAAGTAAATTTAAAATATTGTTTTCTTTAATAATTGTTCTTGTTGTTCTTGGTCTACCAGAATTTATTTTATATGGACTTACATTCCCAGTTTCTCGACAACGTCGTTCAACGGCTCTAAATGTTTTTTTACTTGGTAAGTTTCTTCTAGGAAACTTTTATGCATAACGTGTCACAGCTGCACTAGAACATCCTAAACATTCGTTTTAAGGATAATAAGATGTCAGTGTATTCAACATTTGAGTACATTTTGATTTGATTTTACAATTAACAAGGTTTCAAAACTCTAATTATTGTTAATTTATCGTCATAACAATCAATAAATGTCAGATTTCTATGGCAAACTTAAAGAAAATAGAGGTATACCTATTAGAACTTTATCATTACGACCAGCATCAATTATTACTTCAGAATTTTCAAATAAAAATATTCTGAAAACGGTAGACAGTATCGAGTTTTACCAAGAGTACCTTTTTCGTGTAAAATTAAATGATGTTTAAGTTTACTTGAAATTTTAATTAATAATTATACTCTTAAAAAAGTTATATTGACTAATATTTAGTACGATCCGTGTAACTAGCGTCCTCTATGAGAATCAGATATAAAAACAAATTCATGGGATGTATCAGCTTCAAAACATATTCGTATAACATTTCATTACAATGTTGCCAGTAGTTTCGGCAAAATCGTAAAAAATGCGTAAATTTTTTTTTCGCCCTGTATCTTTACAAAAATTTTTACAGCGTTACAAAAATTTTTTACTAAGCAAACCCCAACTATTTTTCAGTTTTTTACCTACCCTAGAGACGGGGGTTACCTTTTTTGATCACCCTGTATATATTAGAAAGATGTAAGCATTAAAATAAATAGAAAATTGTACATAGCATTGCATTTATTTAAAATGAGCCAGAAAATATAAAACTATGACAAAAAAAGCATCACAATTATTCTTGATATAGCCTAGATGATTGGAAAATATTCAAATGCTAAATTTAAAATGGGATAGCTGTCAAAATATTACGTTATTGTAGAATTATTATAATTCTTATCCAAACGAAAATTTTATGTTTTAAATAAATGTTTTATGTAGATGAATGGCTTTAATTCAGTAAATGTATTGCCATTAGAACTGTTTACATTCATTTATTTTAAAATTTCTTCGTATTACACAGAAAATTGACTTACTTTTGAGTCTTTGGGTCCATATTATGATATAAGGCATCTGAAGGCAAATCTAACGTGGAGGAATGGCAATAAAGATGATTATTGGCAGAAATAGGAGGCACTTTTCTTCTTTCTTCGGAAAAATGATCCTCTTCTATATCATCGGTAAGACTACAATAAAATATAGCACTCATTATATAATTATTAAATCTTCAAACAGTAATGCTTGCTTGACTGTAATCGTTCAAAAATTGTTATACCAAACAAATTAACTAGGTAAAAAAATTGTAATTGTCCAGGTAGGTATTATAATAACATACGTTGCGCGATTGTGAAATTATAAACAAATTATTATTAAAAATATTGTTAAGATAGTAAAAAACCATGAAGTAATCTATTAAGGAATAAGTTGTTGAACTGTTTTTAATCTAAACATTTCGACGATTATGTCACTTAACCAAAACAACCAAATTCTTTTTGATGTTACTTGGAAAGTCACTGTATGGTTTTATAATAAAAAAAGTCTTTTAATTTTTTGTTAGTTACAGCTATTTCACTTTATGTAAATTAAAATTAAATAACTGGAAGCTCTAGAAAATAATTAAGAATACAATAACACAGATATCTAAAAATAATGCAGAAAATATTATGGAAACCTTCATGCTAACCGGGAGGTTCCAATAAATATTTTTATAATCATTTTTGCTTTATTATTAAGCTTTATTTATAAGTTATTTTATTATTATCATCATCATCATCATCACTGGCTCGACAACCCTTTTTGGGTCTTGGCCTGTTCAAGGATTCTTCTCCATTCTGACCTGTTTCGTGCTTTTTTTTCCAGTTTTTAATTTTTAATGTTGTTATATCATTTTCTATTTGTTCTACGAATCTCAGCTTCGGTCTTCCTCTTGTTCTTTTTCCTACTGGCACTTGTTTGAATATTTTGTTTGGCATTTCGCCTTCTTCCATTCTTTCCACATGTCCAATCCAACGTAGCCTTCCTATTTTAATGAATGTTATGATATCCGGATCCTGGTATATGTTGTATAGTTCAAAGTTATACCTTCTCCGCCAAATCCCGTTTTCTTTTGTGCCCTTATATATGTGTCGCAAGATTTTTCTTTCAAAGGTGGCTAATAACGTTTCCTCCCTTTTAGAGAGTGTCCAGGTTTCTGAACCGTATGTGAGTACCGGTCTTATTAAGGTTTTGTATATTTGGCATTTTGTTTTTCTGGAGACGTTATCTGATCTTAGTTGCCTAATTAAGCCATGGTAACATTTATTGGCAATAAATATTCTCCTCTTCACTTCCTCTGCAACGTTGTTATCAGACGTAACTAGGGATCCTAAGTATGTAAAGTTTTTTACCGCCTCAATGTTGTATTCTCCTATTGTTAAATTTGGCAGCTGCCTTATTTGTGCGTTTTTATTTGCAGGCATATATTTTGTTTTTGTCTGATTGATTTTAAGACCACTATTTTTTGCAGCTCGTTCTATTTGAGTGAATGCCTCTATCATTTCTCTTCTTGATCTTGCGATTATGTCAACATCATCTGCAAATGCTAGTACTTGCACGCTTTTATTAATTATTGTTCCTCGGGTATTAACTGTTGTGTCTCTTATTATTTTTTCAAGTATGATGTTGAATAATATGCATGATAGAGCGTCTCCCTGGCGTAGTCCCTTCTTCACATCTATTGTTTCCGTTAATTCGTTTTGTATCCGGATTTTACTTTCTACTTTTAGTGTTTCTTTTATCAACTCTATTAGCTGTGTTGGTATATTAAATTCTGTCATTGCTTTTGTTAGGAATTCTCGGTTTATATTGTCATATGCGCTTTCGAAGTCTATGAAGAGATGATGTGTGTCGATGTTATATTTACTTGTTTTTTCAAGTATCTGTCGCAGAACAAATATCTGGTCTATTGTTGACTTCTGTCTACAGAAGCCACATTGGTATTTGCCAACTATTTTTTCAGCGTATGGTCTAAGTCTTTCATACATTACGTTGGACATTATTTTGTATGCCGCATTCAACAGCGTGATTCCACGGTAGTTTTCACATTCTAACTGGTTTCCTTTTTTATGTAGTGGTACAATAATGCCGCTATTCCACTCCTTTGGTAGCTGTTTATTCAACCATATCTTTCTTATCAGCTCATGTATGGCTTTAAGTAATGCGTCTCCTCCTTCTTTCAGTAGCTCCGATGATATTTGATCCGATCCCGGTGATTTATTGTTCTTTAATTTGTCCACTGCTGTTCTAATCTCTGCTATTGTTGGTGGACTCTTTTCTCTGTTGTCTGCTTGGTCTAATGGTATATCAGGGTTCATCTCCGTCCTATTCACCCCAAGCTTTTCCTTAAAATGTTCTGTCCATCTTCTAAGTATCTCTTGCTGTTCTGTCAATATATTACCCTCCTTATCTTTACACATCGTTGTTCTCGGTTTGAACTCTTTTCTGCTTTTGTTGAGTTTCTGGTAAAATTTTCTTGTCTCTGTTGGTTTACTTAGTTCTTGTAGTTCTTGAAGTTCTTTGTTGATATATTCTCTCTTCTTTCTTCGGTGAATTTTCTTTTCTTCTTTACGTAGTTGTTTATATTCTTCCTCTGCTTGTCGGGTTCTGTGCCTCTGTTGCATCTGTAGATATGCTCTGTTTTTTCTTTCTGTTATAGTTTGACATTCTTCGTCAAACCAGTGATTCGTTCTTGTTCTTCTTTCTTTACCTTCCATTTTATTATTACATATTTAAAATTTGATTTCACGTTTGACTTTCTACTGAGACACTCTGATGAATGTTTTTATAATGTTTTAAAAAGTGCTAGAAATAGTAAAGTATGTGGAGAAACTCCAAGATTTTCGTTTGAAACATGGGCGTTCTTTATTTATACGTCCATGGTTTGAAATATGTTTTTATTTCTGCCTAGCGTGTGCTTTAACAATGGACGTACTAACCTATTTATGTCTGTTTAGAACAGGCTTTTTGGCTAAATAAGTATCAAAACACAATAATAGCATAGCTTGCGAGTCTAGTAAAATGTAAAAAGTATCTTTTGATTATACAATCGTATGGAAAATATACACATGACATGAACTATTGGAAGAGGCAAAAAATAAAGTTAATGAAATAACAAAACCTTCAACGATAGAAGAGGTTGAAAGGGCTATCAAACTGCAGAAAACCAAGGCCGCTGGATGTGATGGTATATGCGTAGAATTGTTCCAAATTGTTCAAAGGAAGGAAAAATAATGAGGACAGATGAGGTCGTACATAAAATATGGTGACAAGAAAAAATGCCAAAAGAGTTCAATAAAAGTATTAGTAGACAACATTTACCAGTAGACTTGACCATAGGCTACAACGCAAAGACGCAGAGAAGATATTCGGAGAATATAGGACAGGATTTAGACAAGGACGATCAACCATCGACCAACTATTCACAGTTAAGAAGGTTTTAAGCAAAACCTGGGAACACGACATATATATTGTCATCGACTTTAAACAGGCATATGACTCAATAAGTGAACTTGAAATACCGTCTAAACTAGTACGGCTCAACCGAATGACTATGACGGACACAGTGGCTCAGATACAGATACAACAGACCCATTTCAAACAACAAACGGATTAAAACAGGTAATGGGCTGGCACCAACATTGTTTAATTTAGCACTGAAATACGTAGTTAGAAAAACATTAAAACAACAACAAAAAGCAAAAACAAACAGACGCCAACAGCGCCTTTAAAGGACGGCCACGTATTTAGAAAACTGTTGAATGCAAGAATGCAGGGGAAGAGACCTAAGACTGGGAGAAAGCGATGGGAGGATCATGTGGATGAGAACGCTAGAAATCTTCTTGGAAGTGGATCTTGAAGGAGAATGGCTACAGGTGGTAACGAATAGAGAGTTTTGCAGAGCCATAGTATGGATTATACAATGCTACTAATATAACTTTTTTCCAAAAATAGTCCATACGGTTATCCGTACTTGGTAGAAGAATCCAACAACAAAATAAATCGTTTCTGACACAAACTATACATAGTTGAAGTGGGAATATGGCTTATTATTTCATATAATCAATGGTTACGTACCAGTAGGGCTACGTCCTCTACAAATTCTGAGTGAATGCGAGTGAGGGATCGCTCTTTCATGATCATCCTCTTTGCGTTCAATACCTTCTAATGTATTTATTACGATGTGGATTAGTCCTCTTTCTCTACATTTGGGTGTGTGTTCGGCCTAATTTCGTTACCTGTTTCCATATTCCAATTTCTGCATTTCTCTTTTCATTATTTAACTTTCATGATTTTTATGTAGTCTGGCCATGTCATTCTACCATTATGTTCTCGGTCTCCCTTGGCTATTTTGTTGAATTGGGGTTCATCTCGTAACTTATTTATTCATCTTGTGATGACGTATGCTATTCATTCCAAGCGTTATTATTTAATTACTTTTACTATATTTTGGTTTCCTAGCTTTTTCTATGTTATTGAGTCTTTTTTATATTTTATTTTTCTATGGGGTGATGTCAGAATTGTTTTTATTATTTTCTTCAAGTTTTCTTTTTTCATTATTTTTGTGTTCATCATTTTTATTTTCATCGCGAATGTAACAACTGGCAGTATCAGTGTTTTGTAAATCTTTCCTTTTGTTTTTTAATTAGTTTTCTGTTTTTAAGCATCTTTTTATTTCTTTTCAGTTAAAAACTCCACCTCAATTTTCTTTCTCAGTTTTTTCAGTCTCCAGTTCGGTAATTCTTGGTTAGTTTTTAAAACGCTGGAACACAATATGAAAACACACATGTTATTTACTGATCTTCAAAACGCGTATGATAATGTCCCATAAGTCAAAATGTGGCATGTGCTAAAAGACAAGAAAATTCCACCGATTTACATTAATGCTGTGAAGGAGTTGTATGACGACCTCACGAGTTCACTAAAGTTGGACAAAAAGTGACAAAAAATCTAAAGTGAACAATAAACGCCGCAAAGGCTGCTGCATTGCACCCACGCTCTTTAAGGTTAATTTGATGGGGTTTTTAAAATATTTGGAAAAGAAAATGCGATCCTATTGGTGTATAGCTTGCATTTTGCGGATGACCAAGTAATACTTGCAGAAGATCAATATAATATACACTACATGTTGCGAAAAATAAAAAAAAAGACTAATGTATAGGAGATGATGTCAATACTCACAGTCGTAAATATTTTTTTTATTACTGTTAAATTTTTGGCTACCGCTTTTAAGGCTTACAATACATGCCATCATCAGGCCACAGCACATAACTGCGTATGGTTGTAGTATTGCTGCATATGGTTTATTCAATCATTAAAAGAGATGAAGTAACAAATACTAAATCAGGGAGCGTATGCCATAGACATTGTTTCTATCCTGGAGACTATAGAATGCAAAAGGCTGAAATGGTATGGCCATGTCAAAACGATGAATGATCAAAGAAGCCCAGAATAGTACGGTGGATCTCCACCAATCACAGAAAAAAGAACAGACCAAGAAGATGCAAGAAGTAAGTAAGAAGTTTAATTTATATTTTGAGAATGATTTACAAAATTTGGAAACTGAAATGCTAAAAATCAATGATTTTTAACTTGAAATCGTAGTTAATAACTATTAAATATATAATACACATATAAAATCCACAAGGAAATAATTCAGAACCATATTGGATCTTTAAATATTACCTTTTAACAAATCCATCGCTTCCTTCTTCCATTATACTGTCCTGCTGGTTTTCTGTGTTGTCCTGGTTGGATCCCGTACTAGAACTGGCGGCACTGCATAAAGCACAGTTTTCCCTGTAGTATTGGCAAGAACATATCCTCTGTAATTTCTTTTTATTGTACAAGATTTCGTCTCCGACGGAATTTTCTGCGGTAGACACACCGCTATCACACCTATTGCAGTCGTTATGTTCAGATTCGATTTTTTCTAGAATATTTTCCACGCTTTCCTCTTTAATTCCACCTTAAAAAATTATAAATTATAAAAAATGATAAATCATTAAAGTTTTAATATTATGTTATAATAATTATTTAGTACCAAAAGAGTGTGGTACTTGGGGAGTGCCGACAGAAGTGACTACATCTTATAACGTGTTATTACTATTTGTAGCTTATTAAAATTGTATATCTGCTTATTACTGAATTTTAAATAATTTTTATAATTACACTACGCATTAAAAAAATCTTAATTTTTTTCGTTAAAGTTTTGATTAATTATTTTACTAATTTTTAAAATTTGTTTTATATATTACATGGAATATATAGAGCAAATATGGAATTAGAGGAGATGTATGAAGAAGAGAACGGTGCCACATGTCACACTACTACCCCAACCATTGATTAATTAGAAGAAAAGTTCTCGGAAACATTGGTTTCTCTTGATGCCTGGAGCTATGTTAAGTCAGTGGTCCATGTGAACAAACCACAATTTATTGAAGATTTGAAGAGGAATATATACCACACCATGCGTGAGATTATTGCGGATATTTTGCATAAAGTGACCGGAAATTGGGTTCATCGGATTCGCTCCTGCAAATGTAGTCGCGGTGGACATTTGAATGATGTGTTATTCGGAACATAATTGTTATCTATTATATTTTGCAATATTTTTTTTTTATTTACAGCCATTTTTACCGTTTTCCTTTAAAAAAAATCATAAAATTCCATTGTTTCTAAAATAATGTTAATACGTACCTAATGTGCCACTGTTTTTCCTTTCCAGAGTATCCTTGGTGCCACAAGGACAACTCTGTAATGCTTGGATATACTTTTTCTTAAGTTTATAAGAAACAGTGTTTTCAGTATCGGATTCACAGCAATTGCACATCTCTCCTGCAGCAAGGTGGCTGCAGTGGTAAATAAAGGCCAAAGAACTGACAGATCTCCTCCTGAAATAAGGTGTTTAATTAATTTATAATTACATTATTTATCTTAATATTAATTGTATAAATAATTAGATTTCGCTTAGTGTAGCTAACTAAATATTCCGACGTTGGTAAAATATTTTAAATTAATAACAATTATTACTAAAATTATCTATTTGCCTTTAACAGGTGTTATATATTCAGAAAGGGTAATAGCATCAATATGGACATTTTTTATTTGTTCCGTCTGTCCCACTGATTTGATCATTTTGTTCTTTTCTGCTGTTCAGTACTAAATCCAGTAGCGCACCTAGAATTTTCCTCTGAAGGGGGGGGGGTTGGTTGAGCACCAAAATTTTTTTATGCTACCTCCACCATTTTAAGTCCTTAAAATTTGTGAATAACAGTGTCTGTTGTGAACAATAGGGTCCTGGGGGGGGGGGTTTAACTTAAATCATTTGGATTGGGATTTGATTCCCAATTGTATATTTCACGCAAAAATGGCATATGTTATGGCATTGGTAGTCATTTTCAGTGTGAATTTTCCCATTTACTTTGCTCGTATGATAAATATTAATTTTCGACTAAATTAGTAAGTAGTAAACTAATTAGTGTAGTAAACAATGGTAATGGACAAATTTTGATTTTTGCAGAAATGTAAAAGATGGCAAGGGACATGACAGCAGCAGAAAACTTGACTTATTTTATCGTCAGAATAATAGATGGCGCCAGATTAATTTCTTAAAAGTTGGTAAGAGACAGGCATAAGGAAGCATGAAAATAATATTATGTGTCCATGATGGCGGAAGACAAAGCAGGTTGTTCAAATCTAAATGGATTTTTTGATGTTAATAGTGACAATTCTGAGAGCTACGATGATTACGACGCAGATAAAGATCCTGAATTTTAAATATTTAGTGAAACTAGCTCGACTACCTTTCTACAAAGAAGGTAATTTATTTATATTCTTAGAATAATTGTTTACCAGAAAAAATGATAAAGGATATAGTTAACATTGTTTACATCCACATTCACTTTGCATAAAACTTTTTTTTACTTGCAAATATGAAAATGAATTCTCTTCAGCGCTATAACACTTAATATTATTTTAATTTATATTTTAGAAAACTTTTGAAATGACATGGACTTCAAGAAACTTCTTCTCACACATACCCAGAGTCCAGTACTGAAGAAGAAGGAGAGGAAGAAAAAGAAAATAGAGTAGAATTAAATGAACAGAACAAACAAGAAAAAGGAGATTCTGTTTCAGAAACAAAATCTAGAAAAAGGAAACGCAATTTAAGTAAGCAATTAAAAACGAAAGAGCTCAGAAATTGCGAAAAATAGTATAAACAAAACAGAGGTAAGGAAATATTGTTTTATCAAAAACACAAGGCCCACCGTCTAGTTGCCCCAATAAATGATATGAATTGTGACTAGGAACTAAAACACTAGTGTCAAAAAGATCTCAAACTATTGAATACAAATTAAAATCACAAGGAAAAGATATTAAGGTATGCAAAATGGCTTTCCTAAGTATCCATGGCTTACAGAAAAATCGACGTCGAGTTAAAATCTAGTAAAACAATTAAAAACTTGATCAAATACTCCAAAATCAGATCTAAGAGGTCGACATTCAAATCATCCCAAAAATATTCCAAATCTGATATAGACTTTTTGAAATCTTTTATTGAAAGCTTACCTAAGTACAAAAGTCATAACACTGCTGACAGCTCTAAATAACATATGAGTATGGAATATTCTATTCAGACTCGCTATGAGAAATATATAGGAGAATGCATTTTGAAAAAGGGAACACAAGTAGATATGGAAGATGAAATGGGTACGAACCATGTAGAAGAGAACGAAGTTGAAGTAGAAGCTTCAACCATAAAGGAAGTTCTCGAAGCTATTAAGGCCCAGAAAAACAATAAAGCCCCGGAGTTGACGAGATTCCAGCAGAACTGTATAAGGTAGGTGGCAACCACCTATCAAGTCATATCCACGCGCTTATCAAAGAAATATGGCAAGAAGAGAAAATACCCGACGAATGGAAGAAAAGTATAGTATGCCCAATCTATAAAAAAGGAGACAAACTCCAATGCAAAAACTACCGTGGAATTTCTCTACTATGTACAGAAAGTCCTCACGTATATTATAAACCAGCGACTCCAACCACTAGCAGAAAATATTATTGGAGAATATCAGACGGGCTTCAGACGGGGAAGATCGACAATGGATCAAATATTTACAGTCAAGCAGGTCTTGAGCAAATCGTGGGAACACGACATTGATGTTCACAACGTGTTTGTAGACTTCAAACAGGCATACGATTCAGTCAAAAGGACAGACTATACTATATATTGGCAGAATTAGCAATACCACATAAGCTAATTAGACTCATTAAAGCCACAATGGATGAAACTCAGGCATGTGTACGAATACAAAACAACCGGACAGACTTTTTCAAAATCTCGCAGGGACTAAAGCAGGGAGATGGGCTGGCACCAACATTGTTTAACCTGGCACTGGAGTATGCGGTTAGGCAAATGCAAACTGGACGAGAAAACCTACTGACCAATAAAACGGTTCAACTGGCTGCCTACGCCGATGATATTAATATTATGAGTAGAACATCAACAGGATCACAGGAAGCATACGCAGAATTAAAAACACAAACGAAAAGGCTAGGTCTGGAAATTAACACAGAAAAAACAAAAATAATGGTACAGACGAGAAGAAATATAATCCCACAAAACATTATACATGAAGATGACATTGAAACGGTTGGAAAGTTTACATACCTGGAGTAGAAATATATGCCGATGGAGCAGAGGATGGAGAAATACGAAAAAGGATAACGCAGGCAAACAAAGCTTATTTTGCCCTCTCCCATATATTTCGGTCTAAAAGTGTCCACCGAAATACAAAGATGAGAATCTATAAAACTTTAATTCGGCCAATAGCATGTTATGGCAGCGAAGCATGGGTCCTGAAAGAAACATCCAAAAACAAACTCGACACATTCGAAAGAAAAGTACTGAGGAGAATACTAGGACCTGTGAGGGAAAACGGAATCTTCAGAATTCGATATAACAACGAGCTCTATCAACTGTATAAGGAAACACGCCTGTCAGACTTCATTAGAATAAAAGATTGCAATGGGCCGGACATGTGATACGAATGGGAGAGGATAGGCTACCAAAACGAGCACTGAACGCCAGAATGCAGGGAAAGAGACCAGTTGGAAAGCCAAGAAAGCGCTGGGAAGACACAGTAAGCAGCGACGCACAAGCACTTTTAGGAGTCCGTGTATGGAGAAGAGCAGCCACAGACAGACAAGGGTGGAGGCAAAAAATAAAGGAGGCCAAGGCTCATTTTGAGCTGTAGTGCCGTAGAAGAAGAAGATTTTGAAAAAGAAAACTCCAGTTTCTGCAGATAAATTCAGAAGAATATTTACTGAAGAATATAAGTTTCAAAACTCAAAAAATTGATACATGTCAAGTGTGCGATAAGTTTTCAATAGCTTCAGAAAATGCTAATTTATACAATGGTAAAACTGAGGTTAAAAAGATTAAAACTGAACAAGAATTACATCACAGAACAGCTGAAGCAAACCCTTCCCACACCAAGCTTACCACTGGTCCCGTGTTCTATAAGAGAAAACTGTGGTGCTATAATTTAAGCATACATTTTCTTGGAGATTGTCAGAGTCATTTTTTATGTGCGATGAATCCACTGCTAATAGAGGGTCGGACGAAATAGTATCAAAATGTACTTTGAGAAAAATAATATTCGTGACAGAAAACTAATAGCTATTTCAGACAATTGCTGCGGAAAAATAAAAACTGGACCATCATTGGTCTTTGGCTATAGCTTTTACAAAACGACTATTTTAAAGAAATAGTTCATATATTTCCTCAGATAGGACATATAACGTTAACAAGCGACAGAAACTTTTCTTTCGTAGAAAATGATGTCAAGAAAAACTGTAAAATGGTCTATTCGCCTAATCACTTAGAAGATATTTTGAAGATGAGTAACTAGTGTCCAGAAAGAGGATATATACGATTGTTCAGTACTGAAAAGCTATTTTAATCAACCGGCAGGTATTTTACAAAGTAGTGTGAAATTATGCCTATCTTCAGAAGTTCCCAAAAATATACAGGATTCAGCATCATAAAACGGATTATTTAATTCCACGTCCTTGAATACAAGAGGAAGATCAACAGCTGCAGAAGAAAAAATTTCTATACTTACTCAAAAATATAAGCATCCCCTTAATATTCATCCAGAAAAACTGAAAAATGTAAAATCATTCTTGGAATGGATTCCAGCTGTTTATCACGAATGGTATATAGATTTAAAATAAACTCCTAGTACCTGCCAAATTATGTCAACAGGTAAATAATGTTAGTTGTAATACATATTTTCATATTTTCCTCAATAAACATTGTTAATAAATATTTGGTATTTCATGTGTTGCCTACTGATTAAGAACATAATTAGCTAATTTTAGCATGATTCATAGTCTTATATTTTTTTCTTAATTCAACACCTGAAACTCAAATCTTCTTTATCATTTTTTATCATTATCTTTTTACCATTTTTTACTGCCGGACCCCTCATTTAACTAATAGATAAGGTTCGTACAATATTTAGCATAGTTAATATTCTATCTAGATTAGTTAACTTCGCAAAGCTATTAGTTTCCTAGATAACTTAGTAACTAACAAGAAACAGTAGCTCTAAATATCAAAAAATGACGATGGATACTAAAATAAACTTACCTGATATGAGTGTTTTGACTTTTGACAGGAGTACTGGCAGCACTTATTTCAGATAAAGAATACGGAGGACTTTTGTCTTGGTCTTGTCTCTCTTTATCAGGAGGTTGGTTGTGATTTGTTAGATTTGTATCGGATATAGGAATATTCTGAAAAAAAAATAAATTTTTTATAACACAACTATAATATAATGGAATCTACAATATGATTAAAAACAGATTGAAATGACACATATATTTTGCTTTAATCATAACACAGTCAATGCTTATGACGCACAGGTAAGCTATGAGTTCAATTATTGTAGTCATCAGCTTGACACACGTTTATGTAATGTGCACTGACCAATTTTTAATGAGACGTAACACTTATTTTATCCAATACGAAGTAAATATTTGGATTGGAAGTTAATGTTAGTTTAACATATAAAATTTAGTTTATAAAATTTAGTGAATTCACCACTTTAATTGAAAAAAAAAACTGCAGAAAACTGTTCAACGAAAACTTCTATAACCTTATTACCAGTTCAACAGAACCAATATGTCAAATGCTTGTAATGGTTACTATATATATATATTATATATATATATATATATATATATATATAATATATATATATATATATATATATATATATATATATATATATATATATATATATATATATATATATATATATATAACGATTTTATTACAGCTGCCGCCGTTTCTCGCAACCTAGCTTCCAACGCTTGCGATCGTTCCAGTCATCTACTTGTAGACCCCTATCTTCCATTGCACCTTTTACTTCTTGTCTCCACGATCCTCTTGGTCTTCCCTTTTTCCTGCGGTTGGTGGGGATCCACTGTAACATTCTCTTTGGCCATCGTTGATCATTTATCTGCTCATAAACATCATAAACATCATAAAGAGGAGAAAAACAGAATACTTCGGCCATATAATTAGAGGACCCAAATACCATTTACTTCGCCTTATAATACAAGGAAAAGTGGAAGGAAAGAGATGGATTGGTCGAAAGAAACTTTCATGGCTGCGTAATATTAGACAATGGTGTGGTTTCACAGTAGAAGAATTATTTCGCGCAGCAGCCGACAGAGAAAGGTTTCAGGAAATTGTAAGCATGATGACGGCCAACGTCTGAATACGGACACGGCACCCAAAGAAGATCATTCATCCTTTCTACATGGCCATACCATTTCAGCCTTTTGCATTCTATAGTTTCCAGGATCTCAATGTCTATGCCCATACGCTCTCCGATTTCAGTATTCCTTACTCTATCTCTTCTAGTAAGTTGGCAATATCTTCTCCAATAATTCATTTCCATTACTTTTACTTTGGATGCGTCATTTTTATTTATTACCCAAAGCTCTGAACCATATGTAGCAATGCTTTCATGCGTCAATTGCAGTTGACGTATTGCCGAGTTTCCTTGACCAATTCTAGTAGCTATTTCTTTTGTATTCCGACCATTGTTTGTAATGTTTACATAGAGATATTAATAGCTATCAGTATTTTGAATTTGTTTGCTTCCTAGTTCTAAGTGCTTTCCTTCACCTCCCACTACTACGTACTCTGTTTTTGATGGATTAATTGATAAGCCCCACTTAGTATATTCTTCATCTATTTTTCGTAACATGTAGTGGATATCATCTTGATCTTTTGCAAGTATTACTTGGTCATCAGCAAAATTCAAGCTGTACAGTGTATGGTCTCCAATTTTAACACCCATAGGTTCACATTTTCTTTTCTAAATATCCAAAACCTCCTCCAAATAAATGTTAAAGAGTGTAGGTGCAACGCAGCAGCCTTGGCGAAGTCCTTTGGTCACTTTTATCTCATTGTCACTTTTTGTCCAATCTTTATTACACTCGTCATATCATCGTACAACTCCCTTACAGCATTAATATAAATCGGTGAAATATTGTTGTCTTCTAGCACCTGCCATAGCTTGGCTAATGGGACACTTTCATACACTTTTTGAAGATCAATAAATACCATCTGTGTCTCCATATTATGTTCCAAACGCTTTTCTATTGTTTGTTTTAGACACATTGTCTATACAAGAACAACCAGTAGGAAACCCACTCTGATCTAAGCGTCTTCCCAACAATCTTTAATTCGGCTTTTAATTATACACTAAGACCTCGGTAGTTCTTATAATCTTTTCTGTCGCCTTTATTTTTATATAGATTGCTGATATATGCAGTTTTCCATTCTGGGGGTAGCTCTTCTCCTCTCATGAATAAATTAAAAGTATAAGCCAATAGCTGAAATAGATTGTCAGGGCCATATTTAATCAGTTCAATGAGTACCCCCCCCCCCCGGTCCTGGAGTCTTTCCATTTTTCATAGCGTTAGCGTATTTTTTAATTTCTTCTGGTGTTATTTTAGTTTCTTCGGAATTCTGTTCGATTTTCTGTCAGCACTGGTTCATAATATTCGACCCATAATTCTGGGGCTATTAGAGTTAACCTACTGCATTCTTTTCTATCTGTTCTACTACCTCTAATTGTTTTCCAGGATTCTTTACTTCTTGCTGTACCCATAAAATTTTCTACATTATCGCAGGCTTTATTCCACATCTCATTTTTGGCTTTACTTACCTCTTTTTTTACTTCTTTGTTTGAGCTGTTGTACTGTTGTCGATAGTAAGGGTCCTTTGTTGCTAGCCATTTGTTATACATATTCTTCTTCTTCCCTACAAGATCTTTTATTTCTTTATTCCACCATTCATTTCTATTTTTTATGCTATCCACTTCTCCAATAGCTTCCATTGCAGCTTCGTCAAGAGCTTTCATAATTTCGTTGTAAGTATTAATTGGTGAGGAGTAACAAACATCGTGCAATTTCAGATTCAACCTCATTCGATACAGAAACTGGGTTGACTCATTTTCAAAACCTTGTAGATTATATCTCTTTGTTGAGATGTCTTGCAGTATCATTGAACTTTTGTTTTCTTTTTGTCGTTGGCTTCCTTTAAATGGAAATAGTAGTGACGCTTTAAGCAAATGGTGATCAGATCCATATTCTGCTCCTCGATGGACACTAACGTTATTAACCTTTATTGTGCAGTTTTCTTTGCATATACAGTAATCGATTATTGATTTCAAATTCCTCGTTGGCTGAATCCATGTGAATTTATGAATATCCTTGTGCTGATAATATCCATTCATTATCTTTAAATTCATACGATCGCAGATACTCATTAATCTTTCACCGTTTTTTTTTTATTTTTTCTTCTCCAAATGGACCGACCACTTTGCCATTTACTTTTCTTCCGGTTCTAGAATTTACGTCACCTAGTAGAATTACTTCCTTCCTAGTTCCAATACTCTCTACCAGGTCCGTTAATTCGTCGTAAAATTTATTCTTTACCTCGTCCTTTTCATCTTCAGAAGGTGCATATGCGTCCACTACCACTATGTCACGTCCTTTTAGCTTCATCTCAACTTGTATTAGCCCTTCGTTTATTTGTTCCCAGTTCTTAATATTTCGTGACAGCCTTTTCTTTACCAATATACTTACACCTGCTGCTGCTCTTCTGTCTTTTCCTACTCCACTATAGAAATAAACAAAATCTTTAAACTGGTCTGTCCCTTTCCCTTTCTTTTTTGTTTCTGTAAGGACTGTTACATCTAATTGAAATCTCTTAATTTCTTTTAACACCTCAATGGTTACTTTAATAACTAATAAATCGGTCACAGTAAATTGCAGAAATTCAGTTTGGCATTCAATATAATTCTGAATTACTCAGATTCTTCTCCCGAGGAAACTATTTCACTAACAAAACATATTGGCATGAAATGCTACTTGCAGGATCAATAGATTTTTAATAAACGTCATTGGACCAGCAAGTCCTACAGAAAAATGTATTAAATATATGAATTGGTAAAGTATAAGTAAATAACATAACCAAAAAATGATACCAAAAACCAACCAACAGGTAAGTAAGTAATTAAGAAAATATGCCTTTATGTAGCAATCGATTGCATACAAAGCTGTATGAATTAATAATACATATACAAAAAGGTTCAAATCATAATTAATGTAACCTCTAAACTGTTTTAAGGCAAAAAATAGTAATATAACTTAACCACTACACTTTTTTTATTTACCTGACATAACTGCAACAACTTTTCATTTCCGGAATGCTTGGCCAGTTTGACAAACTCATCCTGTTCTTTGCCGTCATCTTCTAAGATATCATGACAAGACTCAAGCAATAAAAAACACCTGGAGCTGTCTTCGATTCTCTCCCTCCCATCTTCGAGTTTTTCTCTAAACGCTTTCATTTGGATGTGAAGATTATTGGAGAGTTCCTTCACCGGCTGACCCTTAGCGTCAGTGATATTTTTGCACTCCTCGAAAAGGTCGTTGGATTTTTCTATTTGTCTCTGAAATCAAAATGATAACAATTAGTTCATTGTGTTTATTGATTTCCATTTAAATAAATATAAAAAAAATGTAAATCTAACATAATACAAAAGAAAAAATCAATAATACAGTATGAAAAATTTATCAATAGGTTTCTACGACACATTAATGCTAGTCTGTAATGTTTTTTATTAAAAAAAAAGATGTTTTGTAATATTTATAATCAAAAACAAATAAAACTCGACGAAAAGAATTCAGTTTAATACATAACAAACTTACCGAAGCATTACAAGACTAAACCTAGCGTCTAAGAACCAGAAATTTTGCACCTCAGTTGTTGTATATAGGGTGAGTCAATATTAATTTAGTTATTATCATATTGGGAGAACAAACGCAACTACAACATGAAGAAGTAAGGGACCCAGATGTAAATGAAGAAGTACCTACCAAGGAAGAAATTATAGAGATCATAAAAAACTTAAAAAACAACAAAGCTTTCTAAAAGAAGGTGACGAAATGGTGCAAGAAGAAATTGCTGACTTAATACGCGAAGTGTGGATTAAAGAAAAAATACCCAATCAGTGGAAAGATGCAATCTTATGTCCAGTGCATAAAAAAGGAAACGTTACAGAATGTAAAAATTACAGGGGAATAGCTCTACAAGATACAGTTGAAAATTGTCTAGGTGAATATCAAGCAGGTTTCAGAACAAACAGATCGATTTTACAATGAAACTAATTTTAGCTAGCTCACATGAATTCAACCTAACATTACACATGCTGTTTATTGATTTTAGACAGGCATATGATACTATAAAAATAAATAAAGTACATGAAGCACTAGAATATTTTGAATTTCCACCAAAAATAGAAAGACTGACTAAATGCATACTCAATGATACTAAAAGTAAAGTCATGTTAGGACGGGTTTCGGATAGCTTTATCACTAATAGAGGTCTGCGACAAGGTGACCCGTTATCAACAGATTTTTTCAATTTGGTCTTAGAGAAGATTTTACGAGAATGTAACATCTACACTAAAAGCACAATGTATCATCACAGGCATCAATGCGTAGCATATGCAGATGATGTTACCTTAATAACAAGGAGACCTGCAGAATTAAGAGAAATCTTTACTAGAATAGAGAGAATAGCCAGGGAATATGGTTTAGACATAAACGAAGAAAAAACAAAATATATGGTGATGAGGGGAAACGAAAATCATCTAGGACAGTCCTTTAAGATACAAAGCCCAAGTAAAGAATATAACCTTGAAGTTGTTAGCCAATTCGATTACTTGGGAGTGACACTAACAAATAGGAACGAAGAGAACCAAGAAATCATAAAAAGGATGGTCAAAGGTAGTAAGAGTGCTGGGAGCCTGACTAAGATACTGAGGTCGAAGATAATATCCAGAACAGCAAAAAAGAAATATATACAACAGTTATTCGACCAACAGTACTCTATGCTAGCGAGACCTGGACACTAAATAAATATATGGAAGTAAAATTAGATAGATGGGAACGAAAAATTCTTAGAAGGATATACGGAGATTAATTAATAAACACGGAGACTGGTATAAAAAGAAAAAGAGGCCGCCCCCGAAGAAAATGGCTGGAGTCGGCAAAGAAGATCTGAAGTCGCTGCGGGTACAAGATTGAAAAAACTTAGCACAAGATAGAAAGAAATGGAACAAAACCGTTAAAGCCTTGGGGGCCTGTTGAGCTGAACTATATATATATATATATATATATATATATATATATATATATATATATTATATATATTTATATATTATATATATATACACACATATATATATATATATATATACATATATATATACATATATATATATATATATATATATATATATATATATATATATATATATATATACCGTTTTTATAATATAATGCCTCGTAATTTGGACTTTAAAAGTGCAAATATCCTAAATACTGTAGGTATTATCACCCCTATATATTATATCACCCAATATATATTATAACATGTATCATTGTCTTTATTCATCTGTTTCATTATGTCGGAACAGAACTTTGTAATTACTGAATTATTTCTAGAATGTTTTGATGACATATTTGGTAAAAATTTATTGATTAAAATTGATAAGACCTATTGATAAAGACCATTGCTTAAAAATATTATTTTTAACCATTAAGTGCAAGTAATCCCAAAAAGTCTAGTGACCTAATTTTCTGTTCATTAACTCATTTAGGTATTTTAAGTTTTTATTATTAATATTGTTATACAAAAATTATATCAACATACCCAATATAACACCTATTAATATTGCACAGCAACTTACACTATTAGACACTATCACACCTTTTACACAAAACAAATCTAATTGTACTTGTGTTGAAGCATAAACTCACACTGACCACTATTTGAGATTCCTATTATTACGATATATTTACATTATTATACTATGACGCGATTTCCAGAAAATTTTTAATTGATTAGAAATGCAATGCTATCAAAGGATGGTATTTGAAGTATGGACTTACAGTGCTGACATACCGAAGGCGCTTAGTCTATTACAAGAAGGTATACAAAGATAAATTTCATTAATCGGTTATTGTGTCGGCTCCAGTCAGACAAATCGATAACTATTATTCTAGTGAGATAAAGTCTTTGGAAATGTACACAATAGTTTAACAATTTTTGTGATTACAGAATGATGACGATAATTCTTTCCATAATTTATTAGATAAATAACCTTTGTTTTGCTAAATAAACAAAGTTTGCCCTAGTCTGTGTTAAAAATAATAATTTTTATATAAGATTTCCATATAGGTATGCAGCATCTGGTTAAAAAACAAATAAAAAGTGGCCGAACAGTACTTTAAACCCCCTTAAACACCCCTTAAAGCGAAATTCTCGAAAAAATTAATTTCAAGAAACTTTAATTATTTGGATAATACATTACTGAATTGAAATCTCATTTACTGATTTATAAGTATTTATTTATTTATTACGTCATTTTGCACCCTTAAAAACTACCCCTTTTCGTAAAAATAATGAAAAATGTTTTTATTAGCTTTAATAGCTTTAATCATTTAAAAACTTTTTTATTGGTTATGATAAACTTTATTAATATATTCCAAACTTTATTAATATTATTCTTTCCACATTTTCTGAACAATTTTTTCAGTGCTTATGTGACTTAAATTATATCAGATAAATAATTATAACGAAAAATGCAATATTTGTTTATACATAAAATTAGCGAAAATAGCAACTATAAATTGTGAATAAGTTATGAAATCAACTGGTTTACTCATTATTGTTGTTTTGTACAAAGAACAGTCTTACCCTTTGAAGATATTAATGCCGTCTTAACAGGAATGAGGAGCTGGTCGTGATACCGACGCTAGCGTCGCCGCCGAGGCTCAGCACGAGAACCGTCCGGAAGTAGGTCCGTGTCGATCGTTGTCTTATGAAGAAGTGGGAATGCGTTGATATGGTCAGAGTTAAGAAGGAACCCTCTAAGCGGTGGTTCGAGAGGGTGTACCAATAAATCATTCCATTGTATTGCGACCTTTCCGATAATTTTAGCTAATTGTGACGGTAACACGACACTTTACACTTGTATGTATATTTTTGATCCATACAAAAGAGAAGCCAAATTCTCCGTATTTACATCATAATTGAAATATCCAGTTTAAGTTTTACGAGACAACAGGAAACAATATATTTCAAAAAGTTCTTTAAAATACAGCACTAAATTAGATCACATTACAGTACCGTAACAGAAAAAATATTAACTGTAAAAATATGAAATGAATTCGCACATACTTTCCCAAACATCCCCACTGCATAATCTTTTATTTTTTTGCAGTTGCAAAAAATCATTTTTAAAAATTCTTCTGGAGCAGGTGGATTGGGATTTTTAGTTGGAAACAAAGATTTTTCAATTTTGCACCATCCCCAGTCAACTGGACGAATGTCTTTATTTCCAAGACATATCTGGGTTTGTAAATAAACCCTTTTGATGTGTTCATGCATTCTTCTTCTTATTACCTATATTTTTTCCTATATATACATACAAAATCTCTACTCCAAAAATTTTTCCAAAAAATGTTATTGATTTTTTTACAATAACATCGTTAATTATTATGAAGTCAGGTTGATTCAAAAACCATTTGAAAGGTAATTTCAAGGGCTATAAAGTCGTATTAAATTTAATCTTTTAAATACCTTATTTTTTAAAAGATAAAAGGTTAAAGGGCCTCGGTTACATGATTCTCGCAGTAAAATTTAGGATTTAAACGTTTTTATCTCAGGTATTTTTTATCCTACAAAAATATAAATAAAAAGAAAAATCTTTACTAAAAAAACCTCACCCTTCATTTTTTAAGTATATTGAGTATATGTGGAGTTATTCTCAAAAGAAAATGAAATTTATGAAAATTTTAAAATTCTGATTTTTTTAAATTAACTTTTTTTTCAAAAATATGCATTCTAAACCGGTCAAAATTTTTGAGGTCATTACTTATGCTTAAATAAAGTAAGCCTTTTATAGGGATAGGAGAGATTTTATAGGAGATACTCTCTATAGGGATCACTATAAATTTTAATTTTTGTGAAAATGACATGTTTTATTTTTCACTTTTTCCAAATGTATTGTTTTCCCGTTACATAAGCTTGAATATTCAGATACGAATACTTGCCGAAAAAAAAAAATACATTTAATTACCTATAACTCACTTTGAATTATTATTTAAAGGTTTTTCAAACAAGGAATTTATTCAATTTTTTATTAGCTTCAATTTTGGAACTGACAACTTTTTTATAAAAACTTATAGTTTTTACTTTATAGTTTTTGAGTAATTTATGCAAAAAAAAAAATCGGTGATCTTTAATAACTCAAAAAGTATTGATTTATTTTAATAACTTTATAAAATAAATTTTGTTTAGATTTGGTCCCTCCCTCATGTAGATGTGGAATGGGAACAAGAGAGGGACTGTGCGCAATGACGGTACTATTACAAAAATGCAGGGAATATAATAAAAACGTATTCATATGTTATATAAATTTCCAAAAAGCTTTTGATAGAGTCCAACATGGTAAACTCATACATGCATTGAAACACATACACCTAGATCCCAACGATATTAATTTAATCAAAAATCTGTACTCCAATCAAACAGCGGTCGTACGGGTGGAAGATAGTGGGACAAACCAGGTGGAAATTCAAAGAGGAGTCAGACAGGGATGTGTGCTGTCGTCACAATTATTTAATGTGTACTCCCAACTAATATTTCAGGAGGCACTATGGGAAAGAACTGAAGGTGTAAGGATTAGAGGGAGCATAATTAATAACATAAGATTTGCAGATGATACCGCAGTCATGGCAGAGAATATAGACGATTTACAAACTCTCCTGGAAATCAGTAACAGAGACAGCAAAAAGATGGGACTAACAATTAATATAAATAAAACCAAATACATGGTGATCTCAAAAAACCCTGTTGACAAAATAGAACTGACATTGGAGGGTAAACCCCTAGAGAGAGTCGACAAATATAAATACCTCGGAGCAATTATAAACTCACAGTTAGATCAAGAGCAGGAGATAAAGGTCAGAATAGAAATAGCTCGAAAAGGCTTTATAAAATACAAGTCAATGTTTACAAATAGGAAATTGAGTATGACTATTAGATTGAGGTTCGTCGAATGTTATGTTTGGTCGCAACTACTATATGGGGTAGAAGCTTGGACTCTGAAAGCCCAATCTATAAAAAAAATTGGAGGCATTCGAAATGTGGCTATATAGGCGTATTTTGAAGATTCCTTGGACTGTAAAAGTTTCAAATGAGGAAGTGTTAAGACGAGTTGGACATGGCAGAAAACTTATGAACACAATTAAAATAAGAAAAACATCGTATCTGGGCCACATACTCCTAAACGATAAATACTCTCTGCTACAAGTCATCATGCAAGGTAGAGTCGAGGGAAGAAAAGGCTTGGGAAGAAAGAAGATATTTTGGCTGAGGAATATCAGAGATTGGACTAACCTCAGTGTTGAACAGATATTTCACGTTGCAAAAGATCGAGAAGCGTTTAAAGAAGTAATCGCCAACCTTCGTTAGAAGACGGCACAAGAAGAAGAAGAATAGATTTGTGTGGTTATTTTTAATAAAATAATTTCCCCCCCGAGAAGGGTTGGCGTACACCCCCAGGGTAAAAGCGAAAGTTGATACCAAGTCACTTTTGTTTCTTAGGGTATCCTCTAACTACTCACCAATTTTCATGAAAATCGATGGAGGTTCAACGAAATCGGAGTGAAAACCTTCAGTGGCTGTACTAAAACCATTTTTGTTGAAATGTGGAAAACTAAAAGGTAAACTTCGCGAATCGACTACAATTTGACAATGAAAAACGTATTAGGTTTACTGCGAAATTTACTGTGAAAAATATTATTTCAATTTTTAGGACTAAAAAACGAAAAATTTTAAAATCGATTTTTCTGGACAACGGTGTATTCTCTCGACAATTAAGAGTACCTTTTGGTAGTAGAATACCTGAAAATTTAATAATCTAGTATCACAAATGCTTAAAAGGTAAAGACAAAAAAATTATGCGTTAAAATAACCGTTCACCTACCCAAACGGACGCCTATGATCGGTACTAGAAATTAGCAATTCATGAAATCGATTTAACTCTGGGGGATAAATAATCATACCAGTTTTCATTTTTCTAAAAAGAAGTGTTCTGGAGGTATTTAAAAAAAAAACTAATTACAAGGCACCATCTTCAAAGAGCTCTAGCTCACGTAGGGAGCATGTTTAGACAAGGTAAATGAAGATATTGTCTTAAAATTATCTGAGGGATCTCCGGTCTTCGTTTGTCGGGTGAGTTTCTGGACACCCTGTATTGGAGATATGCAACGTTCTTCTTCTTCACGTGCCATCTCCGCTACGAAGGTTGGTTATCATCATGGCAATTTTGACCCTGGAGGCTGCCGCTCGGAACAATTGTATGGAAGTGCAAGCAAACCACTCCCTGAGGTTTCTAAACCATGACATTCTTCTCCTACCTATGCTGCGCCTACCTTCAATCTTTCCTTGGATAATTAGTTGTAACAGTTGATATTTATTCCCACGTGCAATATGTCCCAGGTATTGTAGTTTCCTCATTTTAACACTCAATACGACCTCCTTTTGTTTGTTCATCCTGTCTAATACAAAATGCCTCCATCATCGCCTCATCTCAAATGCCTCCAGCTTACCCATACATTGCTTATTTAGTGTCCACGCATCCACCCCATATAACAGCACCGAGAAAACATAACATTTAAGTATTCGTA